AGGAGACTGAGCACTGTTTTGGGTCTTGATGCATTATGTAGAAACAAGTATATCTTGAAGAAATCTAACATCCTATAGGATAAGAACTCTTTCATAAACTTTCTAAAAATAGTTTGATAATGCTATTTCAGCATGATTAATTTGCTTTTTGATCCTACATATTTTATTTTATGCACTTAAAAACGTTATTGTGAGATGGGGTCCATAAGTTTCACCTTATTGACAAAGGTGTCTATGTCACAGAAAATGTTAAGAACTCCTACAATAAAGAACCTCTTTCCAACTTAGACTCTATTGAATCTTCTCTTTGACATTGGCAAACACTCTTGCCAGGCATTGTTGTTGTTCAGTCATTCATTTATGTCTGACTCTATGTGACCCCTTGAACATTGTACATGGAGTTTTCTTGACAAAATACTGGAGTAGTTTGCCGTTTCCTTCTCTAGTGTGACCCCATTTTACAGATGAGGAACTGAGTCAAATAGGAGTTAAGTGACTAACCTAGGGTCACACAACTACTAAGTATCTGAGGCCAGAGTTGAACTCAGATCTTCCTGACTCCAGGCCCAGTGCTCTACCCACTGTGCCACCTAGCTGCCCCAAGCATACATCTTCCAACTTTTGCTTTCCTTGATATAAATAATCACTGAACAAAGGGTCATTGAATAAGTATCAGTCTCCTCATTATGGATGGCAATTGACTTGCATTGGTTGAAATTTTTTCTGAAACTTTAGTAACAGGTGTCTTTGTCCTTTCTCCCACCTATTTTCCATTTTTAAGGTATTAATAGTTTGTATAAATTATCTAGATTGGAGATGTATAATTTTAAGGAAGCTCTTCCAGGAATGTATGATTGAAAAAGTGGGCCAGTCACATAGAGGGAATAAGTGATGGAAAGCTCAAGTGTTGCACTACTTCCCACAAAATATAAAAAGACCTAAAGGAAGGTCTTTAGCATGTTGGGTGGGTCCTTTGTAGATGATCGGTGAAAGAGAATGGATAAGAATTACACAGGATTAGAAGGTACGGATGTGTTACAATTTGCACTCATAGAGGGAATCTATCCATCCAGTGAGCTAACATATCCATTGAAGTGAATTGGGAAGAACAGATTAGAGATAAAGCATCTAGTTAGAAGGCTTTTGCAGTAGTTTAGGAAAGAAATAATGAAAGCCTGAACTAGATGAGTAGCAGTAAGGACAACAAGCAGAAAATAGATCCTAGAGAAAGACTTGGTAACTGTTTGAATATAAGGAGCAAGGAAGATAAAGAAGAAAAACATGATTCTTGAATAATAATAATTATAATGATAGCTAGTATTTACATAACTTTAAAGTTTATAAAACTTTTTATAAATATTATCTTTTTTGTCTTCACAACAACTCTAAAAGGTAGGTGTTATTATTATCCCCATTTTATAGTTGAGGAAACTGAGGCAGATGAAGTATAAGCAATTTGCCCAGATTCCCACAACCAGTAAGTATTTGATTCTGAGTTCCTGATTCTGATTTAAGTTCTCTATGCACTGTACCCCCTGGCTGCTTCCTTGAAATGAATGGGAGGTTGGTGATATCTTAAATATATAAAAACATCAAGAAGAAGGCATAGGTTTAGTGGCAAGAAGCAATTGAGTTAAGCTTTGAATATGTCCAAACACCTGCATGGAGAGTTCTAGCAGAGTTGGAAGTAAAGGTCTGAAACTAGAGACAGGTTGGAATTGGAGGGGAAAATTTAATTATCTTCATCATAGACATGTCAGTTGAAGCCATAGATACAATTGCCAAGGGAGAAAGTATAAGTGAGAGACGACTCATGGTAGAACCCTGTTGTTGTATTAGAACCCTCGGAAGCACATTAAAGAGAGAAGATGCAGAAAATGAGCCAATGAAAGAGAAGAAAAGGAATCATTTGGTAAGGAAGAACCAGGAGCAAGCTGTATCATGGAAACCACAGAAACAGAGAGTTTCCATGAAAATAAGAGGAAACAGTGTCAAAAGCAGCATGCAACTTTACAGATGATGAATTGAGTCAAATAAGGTCAAGTGACTAACCTAGGGTCACCCAGCTATTAAATATCTGAGTAGTGCATGAAGTGCATGAAGACTGAGAAAAAGACACTAGGTGTAGCAATCTTTAAAAGAGAAAATTCTTGAAAGTGTTGAGAGTGGAAGCCGGAGTGCATAGTTTTTTAGGGTTAAAATGGTAAGTAAAAGCAGTAAATGTGGACTATTCTTTACAACAGTTTTGCGGAAAGGAGAAAGGCCTGGGTGGGGAAGGCAGCTGAGGCTACATGGGGAAGAAGGAAATGCAGTAGCTCCAGGTATCTAGAGAAGGTTTCTTTGCCGATTTGTTTTATTTAAAGACAGCAGAAACTTGGGCATGGTTGTATTTAGAGGGGTAGGAATTAGTGTAGGGGAGAGTGTGAAGAGTAAATATTGAAGATAAGAGGGAGGGAGGAAAAGAAAGGATATCTAGCTTCATAATTTTCTCACTTTATCATTTGAAATAATCAAGCATTTCTGTGTTTCTCCAGTGGTACAGATTTTTTAAAATTATTTTCTTGGTAAATTAATTTATTATTTTCTTGACTCTAGGTCTGTTTTCAGATAATTTCTTGTAGCAAAGCTTTATTGAGAGAATGAACACTGGACAAGCTTCTTAACATCCAATTATACTGTGACACTGATTGTAAATCATGTTTGACATATAGACACAGCCCCAATAATTACATAGGGGTTTGTTTTTCAAAATACATTGCTGATGCTATTAAATGCCCATTCTACAAAAAGCATTTCAAAGAAATTAAATTGAGTAAATACACGATCCTATTTTAATGCTAGTGCTTCATCTTCTTTCTTAACCATTATGGCTTGCAATATAATTAAGTAACATATCCTTTGTCAACAGATACTATTAATTTTTTAAGTGCATGAGAACTGACCATGACTCTAGCAGGTAAAATTTTGAGGTTGGGATGCCCATTCCCTTAAAATAGGTGTAACTAATATCCATGTGTGAGAACCAGTTAGTTCCATTTGAAGATGTCTTGAAAGACTAAAAGGAACTGCTTAAGTGTACTTGCCTACATTCTAAATGAAATAGTGTCTTGTGCTGGCAAGGGTTAGAATGTAGGTCTAGTCTTAGAATATCTAAGATGACAAACTGTGGCTATCCTGTGTTTCCTTTTAATGAGAGCAGATGATTTGACAGCAGAGGGGAAGAGATTTAGGAATGCTTTCTCATCTAAGTGAGACTTGCTATATTCTTTATATCCTAGAATCCAATGCTTGGTGACACAAAAGGAATAATTGTGTGTGTGTGTGTGTGTGTATTTAGAGAGAGAGGTGTATCTAAATACATACTACATTCATACAAAGAGAGGACAAGCGTGTGTGTGTAAGGTTGGGTTTGTTTGTTTGTTTTTCCATTTCTGGTGTAGAAAGACACCTTGTTATAGTGGAAAGAGTACAGAAATTGGAGTTAGGAAGACCTGAGTTTGAATCCTACTTCTGACATTCAGTAACTGAGCAAGTTACTTAACCTCTCTCTGCCTTAGTTTCCTAATCTGTAAAATGGGAATAATAATACACATAGCTTCCTTATGGAAGTTTTATGAAAATCAAATGAAAAAATGTACTTAAAGCCCTTTGTAAAAATGCTACATAATGCAATGAGTTACTTAAATGTCAATTATCATCATCATTATGATGATTATTACTCTTTCCTAATGCTTCAGTTTATTATAGTTTAAATTGGCCTATGAAAGCTTGTGATTGCTCTCAGAAATCTTTTTTTAAAAATCATTTTAGTCTAGTTTGCAGATGTGTTATCACAAAACAAAATGAGCTTCATTCTATGAACAAAGTATTTCGATATCTAGAATGGTTAAACTATTTTTCTTAGGCATCATTTTTCCAGTTAACACAATGGAATTCACCTAGTCACACTCTTCTCTTTGTGGTCACAGTATCCTGTGACATCATTTTCCCCAGTGTGAAAAGCCATTGCTTTTATATTTGTCTTGTGCAGTAAGTAATCCCCTCTGCTTAAAGCCTGAGATCATCTGCCCTGATACATTCTGTCACATTTAGAGATTGTGGTTAGCTGGTTTACTAGTGTTGTCCTGATAAGCCCTTTTATCTTGGGTGACTTAATTAATTTTTTCCCAATAATGGCAAACTCACTTAAACTAATTTTCCTTTAAGTGAGGAGTACTAATGCTGGATCCAGGCTCAAATCTTATTATCTACAATGGTATCCTGCCTTTTAAATATATGTAATTAGTCCCTCCACAGAAAAGACCTAGGGCTTAATTCTGTTAAGAGCCTTGATGTCAAAGAGTTTAGGACACAACCTATAGACTTTTATTCTGTGGGTCAGAAGACACCAATGAAGGGTTTTGGAGGGGATGGGAGAATTGACCTGATCAAAGCACAAGTTTCAGAAAATTAACCTAGAAGCAGTGTGCCAGATGGATTGTGAAGGGTCCTTAAGAGATTAGAGACAAGATTATCACTTTAAAAGGCTGTTGCAACAGTCTAGGGCCTAGACTCTAGGCCCAGGGTAGGGTTCTAGCATAGAAACAGAACAAAAAGGAAAAAAGCCAGAAATACAGCAAAGAAATGCCCCTGAGCATTTCTGGAGTCTCACTAAAAACAGCTATTTGACCATAGACAAATCACGTGATCTCTCTGGGTCTTGGTTTCTTCATCTGTGAAAGGAAAGGGTTGAAGTAAATGACCTTTAAGTTCCATTCCAAATTTAAAATTCTACAATTAATATAATTAATAATAATATTAATATAGTTAATAATATAAGCCCTGTTGTAAAAAGATGTTAACAATAAGACAAAGATTTGAAGGATATTATAAAAGAGGTCTAAGGAAGTGAATCCTAAGTATATTCACAGAATCCCACGACGTATGAGAACTAACTACTTGCAGGAATATTAGGTCTATAGATGTAGCAAGTATTGACTCCAAGTCTGTCTGTCTTCTAGGCTTTTTTTGTCGACCACAATTCCCGTACCACCACCTTCATTGACCCCCGGCTCCCACTGCAGAGCAGCAGACCCACGAGCGCTTTGGTACATCGGCAACATCTGACCAGGCAGCGCAGCCACAGTGCTGGTGAAGTGAGTCACGGAGTTTTCTTAGGGACTTTCCTGATGGCTGATGAAAACTGATAGGGATGTGTCTGAGCTCAAGCTGAGATGGCCTAAAAAAGTTTTTCTTTTTTTTGTAATTTAATGTGAAGTGTTCTGATAAAAATTGAGGTTAAAATATCAGCAATTTTTTGAAAACACAGAAACATAGTGAAAGTTGTCTTTTTTTGTTTTTTGATTTTTGGTTTGCTTTTTTTTTTTTTTTAGGAATGATCTTGTCCAGAGGAATGGGGAGGGAGAGGGTCACAATCTTTGTTTATACACCCTTATGCATAGATGGCTTCATGAAATCATTTGTTGTACATATCTACTGAAAGTAGCAAGGAAGTATACATTCAAGTCATCAACACAAATTTCTTCTTGAGCACTTACTATGTGCCAGACACTGTGCTAAGTTCTAGGGCTACAAAGAGTGGCAAAAACTGTCCCTGCCCTCAAGGAGCTCAGAATCCATCGAAGAAGAGAGCATGCAAACAACTTTGTACAAACAAGCTACATACAAGATAAATTGGAGATAATTTTTCCAATCTCTACCATTGAGGAGAACCAGAAAAGACTTCTTGCAAAAGTTTCAAATTTCAGTAATTTGGAAGTTAAGTTAAACATAAGAAATAATTCCTTGGAAAAGGGTTGCTAGAATAAAAGTTGTGGAATTTCTTTCACTGATGGTCTTTAAAATTGGAATGTATATCTCTCTGTGCAGGGTTCTCTTATGTCCCATGCTTGCTGGACCTAAGGAGATAGGTTCATAGTATCATAGATTTAGAGCTAGAGGAGACCTCAGGAGTCAGTTAAGGGGTTGGACTGGCGAGACCTTAAGGTTTCTTCCAGCCCTAAGTCTTTGATAACTCTGTTGATTCTATTGGATTTGGCCTGTTTTCTGTGGATTCTTAATGCAGTGCCACATTGTAACCACTTGAGGGCACTCAGATTTCCTAATTACAACTCATAGACAGCTTCACTTTATCACTCTAACAGTTTACGTGAGCAAAGGGAGTGTTCAGGTATATATATATGGGTCATCTGTCCTTCCCCCAACAGCTTAAATGCCTTTATTGTTTGGGTTTTGTATACATTATATGAGATGTCCTTGGCATTTAGTAAGCACTTAACAAATGTTTTTACATTTATTCATTCAAATGCATAATTCAAAAAATTTCCCTAAAGCATTAGTAGATGACAGCCAAATTTGCATTCTGTGTATCTTTTCAACACTAGCATGATATCTTTTAGATTCTGGATTGATGATGGAGTATTTCCTTGATAAGGAGAAAACATAATTGAGTGAAACTCCATGACTGTATTTGATTCATTTGAATTTAAATTTTTTGTAATTCTACTTCTCATCCCATAGTCCAGTTCTGTTTGATTGGCTTTGTGTCTTTGCTAATTGCGTGCGTGTGTGCATGCGTGTGTGTGTGTGTGTGTGTATGTATCTGGAAAGATATTTATGTGAAGCTCGTATAAAATTTATAGATGCTTGATATGCTTGGTATTTATAGCTCAAGAGCAACTTATAAATCTTTGCCCTGTCTATCCTGTAAATTAGTAATGCCACATTGCAGGATACTGGCACAGTCCATTCTACAAACACAAATCTCTCACCTTTGGACCTGGTACTTGATAAACGGGTAGAATCTACTATGCCTGACTTCACATTGTTCTTCAGCAAACTCACCTTATTTTTCAGTTCTTATTAAGCAAATGGTTCTAAGGACTATTCAGAATGACCCATTTTCAGGGAAGCCACAAATAAAAGTGATAACTGTCCCTAAAATCCCTTTTATAATTTTTTTTCATAATCTAAAGCCCAGTAAACCTAGTTTCAGGAAGAGATGCTGAAACAATCAATAACATTGTCTGAAGATTGCTTTTCATGTGAAAGAAAGATATATGGGTGTAGCAGAGCTCACCCCTCCTAATGTTCACCTTTTATCTACAATATTGTTAAACCTTCATAGGAAATGCTTACTGTCTAATTGGTAGGAGGTACATCCTGTGTTATGTCCTATGCCTACTTGTCTGTTGACTGGGTCTGATTTCAAGAAATGAGGAATTGGGGACAGGTCTCATTTCTAGTTCTAAGAATGGTGACACGTAGCGCCCTACTTGCAAAAGAAAAAACCTTATGTCTGTCATTGGTGTCTTTAAATAGTACCTTCATCCTGGTTAATAAAAACCATGGGTAGTGATTGATCTCACAAAGGTAGTGGCTGACCTCATTATACAAACCCAAGAATTTACAGTGAACCAGTGTGAAAAAAGACATATGAGCCTTTCCATCTAGACACACTACCTTTGACATTTAGAATATTCCAAAAAAGTTAAATGATATAATACATTAAAATTGATATGCATCTTTGAATGAATAGGAGTAGGGATATATTATTGAGTATTAATATATAAATATGATATAAGCAATCATCTTCTGATATCTTGCCCCTCATAATTTGGTATTCTGTGAAATTTTGGTGGAAGAGTGTATGTGTTTATAAAGATGAAAAACATCACAAGATATAAACTCTCCCTAAAATGATCTCAAAATAAAATTGTTTTACATGTGTTTGCATATCTAGTTCAAGAACTTGTTTCTATATTATAAAATAATTAATTCAAATTAGTACAATTAAATTAAATCCATTTGCTTGCTGCTGCTACCAATTATCTTGTGTGATAACTTCCAAATAGAAATAGTAGAAAAATAGCTATTAGGAACCTAGCTAAAGGTAACTGGTCAGTTCATCTGCTGAAATTTTATAAAAGGGGGAGAGGGCTTGGCTTAAAAATTGAACATTAGGATATTGCCCTAATTCAGCTCCCAAACTGACCCTTTTCTTGTTCATTTGCAGGACTCAGTTCTGTGAATGTACAAGCTATTTCCAATTGACACACCACGCACCCCCCAGGCATGCTTCAGAGGAGGATGCCAGCTATTTAGCAGGTCATGACTATGTTTCTGTTTACAGGTAGGAGAAGACTCTCGACATTCAGGGCCACCAGTTCTTCCTAGGCCATCTAGCACCTTCAATACTGTCAGTAGGTCACAGTACCAGGACATGGTTCCAGTGGGTATGTCATCAGCTGCTATATTGTTCTTCAAATAAGGAAATTATAATATAATTTTGCTTGTCAATGTGCAGCATACGTGTGTGTATATGCTGTTTATTGCTGTGGGTTTGGAGTTTGGATGATTCTATTCATTTGACATTCCTTGCTGGGGAATTTTGACCTTTGGCACATAAGAGTGAAGTGATTTGAAAACTGCCAGCATGTAACAAGTGCATCATGTTAAAAAGCATTGGCAGAGATGCTTTTGTACTTTGTTTGAAATTCTATTGAATTTTCCTTAAGAAACCTTTCACAGATTTAATTCATATCTGAAATTTAAAAGCATTACATTGTCTAAAAAAACTAGAAAAATTAGAGTGAATTTTTATATTTCTTAGCTTTTTCTAAATATGAGTATTTGATTATTGAAAGTGATAGAGAAAATGACTTATGGAATACATGAAATATGGTCATTATAAATTAATTGACTGCTGTTTTGAAATAAACATGCCCCAAACTGTCTAGTCTAAGACTGAAGGCACATGACTTTATAGTGGAATAATAAATTAAATAGGGAAAACAATGATACTCTATTCTGAAAGACTTGAGAAAAGTGGCACCTCAATGCTGCTGCTTACTTAAGCAAAGTAGATATATTCCCCCCAATGCTGGAAAAAAGTGGTATAGTGGAAAAAATGCTAGTCAGAAGACTGCGTTTTGTCTTTCCGCTGTCATTAAGTTTGGTTATGTCACTTAATCTCTCTGTCACCACAGTTTCCTCATCTATAAAATGATTGGTTAAACTAGATAATCTCTAAGGTTCCTTCTAATCTTAAAATTCTATGATCCTGTGATTCTATTGTCAAATGATAATGTGAAATATTATGTGAAATATTAACAGATTTATAATATTTTTGTAGATATTAAAATTTTGTTTAATTAAAAGACATTCTCTTATTAATTTTGTTGATTGATATAAAAAAATCTAAGCAGAGAAAAACTTGAAAATTTTTCAATTCTTGTTTTTCTTGTTTTCTATTGCATTCTTGATTCCTTTAAGCTTTGCTAGATTTTAAATGCAGTATTCTTTTTCTTTTTAGTTCATCTTTTATCTGCTTTATAGCACTGTAAGGAATAGAGTTGATTCTATAAAATTTTTTGTCTTATGAATGCAAATGAGGAAAGAGATAAATAAAGCAATGGTATCCTAGATGAGATAATTCCTCTTGCATGAGTCAGCCTTTTACGTTCCTGGTTCTCATGCAATCAGACCAATTATCATTCCTTAAGATTTATTACTATCTTTCCTTGTGTGCTGAAGTCCTATATTAGGCACATAAAATATATAATATTTATCTCTCTAGAAACAATATGCTAAGATGAAATAAATAGACATTTCCTTGGGGCAAAATATCAAACCATGTGTCATTAAAATTGTCAGACCACTCAGATTAAATATAATCTGTATGGACAAAGCTATTGAATTTTTTTAAAATTAGATTCATTCTTAGGAAATAATATAAAAATCATGGATTTGAGAAACTCCATATTGAAAATGGGATTATATATTAGCATTTTAAGAACATTTTTTATTTTATATAAAATGATTTTACTCAATAATATTGGTCATTTTGAATATTTTATATTATTATTTATGTGCTTGTTTTCAATGTATGTATACTGAGTAACAGAATATAATGACAGAATGGTGAAGTCAATAGGGAGCCAGCTTCAGAGTCAAGAAGACATTGGTCCAAGTCCTGCTTTTGTCAGGTACTGGCTGTGTGACCCTGGGACAGTCACTTGACTTCTTAGAATCCTAGGCAGCTCTCTAAGACGTTTTAATTTATAAACATTGACCAATCTCCACAAATAGAAGGAGTTTCCATACCAGAATTTCCCTAAACAATGAAACCACAGAGGATAATGATGATGAGACAGAGGAGGAGGAGAAAGAAAAGAAGAAGATAGAAAGAGGAGGAGGAGGAAGAGAAGAATAAGAAGGAGGAGAAAGAGAAAGATAATGTGTTATGTTAAAGTCTAGCAAATGTCTGCAGCAGGGTTTTGTGCATACTTCTATTGTAATAGATAATTATTACTTGGTTTAAGATCTTACATATCATTTATAGAACATGAAAGTATTGACTGAACCTGAATCCCTGATGAGAAAACCATGATCTAACATTTGAAAATACTTACAGCCATTTGAATATACTTTTACGACATCATGGAATATCAGAGATGGAAAAAGCCTCAGAGATCACCTGATCGAACCCATACATGAAAAAGAATCTCTGCTCCAACATACCTGATAATTGTGCAGTCATTCAGTTTTTGCTTGAATACCTCCAGTGGAGGATGGATGTGGAGAGGAGAGAGGAATATAATATGCAACCTCTTAAGTCAATGCATTCCATTTTTTATATCTCTAATTGTTAAGTTCTTTCTTAGTTCCAGGCTACATTTATTTCTTTGGAACTTCAACTCATCAGTCCTATTTCTGCACTCTGGGGCTAAATGAAACAAATCTATTTTCAATGATTTTTTTCTTTAAACCAGGAACATTTTGGCCTCCATATAAGCCTTTTGTTTTTTTTATCATTTGTCCTTGTTTAATATTTTAAAATTTTGCTTATTGTTTATAAGTGTACTTCTTTAAATTTTACATGTCTTAGAATGTAGTTTCTTCTCTGTGTTTATGGCTAGGTCAAGGTGATATAATGAAATTCTCAATATTATCCAAACAATTTTAAAGCTTTAATGTGGTGCCACTCACGGTACCAATGGAGAACTTCATAAAATTAAATAAAGCCCCAATTTACAAGAATATCAAGATAAATTATTAGGAGAAAAATGAAGAAGTACTGGACTGCCAGATATCTAATTATATTGTTGAGTAGCAATAAATAAAACTGTCTAGTACTAAGGAAGAAACAATAGAAAAAAGATCCATGGAGCTGAGTCCACAATCCTAAAGCCAACACAGAGGAATACGAAGTGGATAGATTTAATATAACAAAACACTGGAGGAAGAATTAATTATTAATTAACAACTTGGGAAAATCAAATTATAGCATAGTGAAAAAAATAAAATTATGTCTGAATCCCACACAATATATTACAATAAATTTTCAATGGCTCAATAATCTATTTATATTATCTCACAGTCACTGATAGCTTTGATCACAACAGAATATTTTACTCAAAACAAACAAAAGAGGAAGAATGGATTTTCTAATTCTTGCTGCAGACATTATTAGCCAGAATCAACCAAGATATATATCTACATGTGTTCTAAAATCTAAAGCTACTGCTGCTAATTGGGGGGGGGGGGGCAGTTGGAGCTTTCTTTGCAGATGTATTGGAAAAGACCCATTTGTGGCCTACTGCCATTTATATATTCGTTATGGGAATGATTTGTCCCCTTCCTTGTGTCCATCATTCTTACTTATAGAACCTACTCTTGATTCTGCCTCTAGCACTTGTCCCATAGGCCACCTAACTTTTCAAACCCCAAAAGAACCTCTCTGTTTTCTGAGTGCTGCGTGCTAGTTTGGGATTTCTATTCTTAGCTTCCAAAGAGTTAATAGCTATAGCTTATTTTCTTTATGTGCTTTGCGTCCTTGTCTTCTTAACATTTTTATGCAAAATTTTTTGTAATCGCCACTATTTGGCTGTCATTCATCTTCTGTGTATCTATTGTCTGTTGGGAATTGTCTGATGGAGTGTGCAAAGTGTCTTAGCATCATTCTTATCTTGCCACTTGATGATAGCTGTGATTCCGTTAGATGAGTGTAGTAAAAATGCTTAATGAGGCCAAATGTGACATATGGTAATAGGTTAACCACAAAGTAATTTTTGCTGTTGTCGTTCAGTCATTTTAGTTGTGTGATTCTTCATGACCTCATTTGGGCTTTTCTTGGCAAAGATACTGAAGTGACTTGCCATTTCCTTCTCCAGCTCATTTTACAAATGAGAAACGGAGGCAAACAGGGTTAAATAACTTGCCCAGGGTCATATAACTACTAAGTGTCTGAGGCTGAACTCATGAAGACAAGTCTTCCTAATTCTTAGCCCACTGCTCTGTCCCTGTGCCACCTAGCTGCCCAGCCATAAAGTAGATGCTAATTAAAGTCATAACATTAACTTAAAGTATAACCAAAATATCTAAGTATCTTTTAAAAAATTTTTTGTGTGGGTCTTTGTTATCATTGTTAGTACAGCAGAAATTCCAGACTGTTCTTAAAAAATATTTTCCTTTTCCATTAACACAGCCTACAATGACAAGATTGTTGCATTTCTGCGTCAGCCCAATATCTTTGAAATTCTACAGGAGCGTCAACCTGACCTTACCAGGAATCACTCACTCAGGTAACCATAATGCTGTTGGTTTCATTGTTCTGTTTCTGGGAACAACAACCTCCGTTTTTAGAAACACTGACAAATACTGACATTGCTAACTCATTCTTTGTTTTTGGTACATTAGGATAAGAGATGTCTTAGAGAGGGAGAGATACTTCAGAGCAAGGGCTGTCAATATTTGTTATGGAACTTCAGTTTATTTGGTGTAATAGCTAGTTCGAAGAATCTCCCAATAATCTGAAACTCTCATAGACAGAAGAGTTCTTAAAATGAGAAGAGAGTAAGTTATACCTGCAGCCCAGAGGTCATTCCAGAAATGAGACAACAGTCCTTCTATTTTGCAAATCAACTGCACATCCAAAAATAGTATAGAGCTGATTAAAATCAGGTTTTCCAAAATCCTATGGTTGCCATTCTCATTTTATTATAACAGTAACGCATTATCAACCCATTAAAATGTGACACATTGCACAAATTCAGATAGAAATCACAAATTTCAAGAAAAGGATTAAATTGTGTTTCTAGAAATATGTTAAATACAATGAAAGCCTCATAAAACATCATTATTATTCTTGTCCCATGACATTAGCATTTTATGTTGTAAAAGCATATTACATATAGTTCTTTCCAAATCTTCATTATCACACCTGCTATAGCCCAGAATTCAGTACAATGTGGCTCCATATAATGCAAGGGGATTTTGTAACCAGAAGTGTAGAATGTAATAATTCAATGTCATAACTAGAAATTTGAGGCTCCAGAGCAGAAATTTATAGTTGTCTTCTTTTTTGTTAAACCCTCTAGCATATGCTGCGTGGGGAGTAAAGATACCTCTAGAGAGCTGAACAGGGCTTGTAATTTCCCCTACATTTTTAATAATTAGCCCTCCACGATATAAGCAATTCAGCTTCAGCAAGTGGGGATACCCACCCACAAATTTGGAGGGTTTATTTGGAGAAAGTGTATACAGTTGTTGAATAGAGTATTTTATTTAGAATCTTCCAGGCCTTTGATAGTATTGTCAGTATCCCTTGTTGAATTAGATCTTCAAATTAATAAAAGGGAACTACTTTGTTCTCCGTAACATAGCTTGTCAGGTTGGTCTTTTTAGTCCCCAATTACCTCAAACGTTTCAGTGTATGTTTGTGTTATAGTTATGGAAGAGGAGAAGGAAAAGGAGTCTAGCATTTCAGTTTGGTATTGTTTCATCTATAGCGTGGTCTGTAGTTTAGACTCAGAGGATGGTGTTCTCATGAGGCTCCGATGTATTTGTTACTGAATGAAAGCAATGAGTTGCCAGGTTTTAAACTGTTATTGTGTGCATTTATAACTTGGATACATTATAAAATGGAAAAATTGCATGCTGTCATGAGAAATGGAAGGAAATGAGACCAACAAATCAGTTAGATGGTATTGTTCCTCTTAGCCAGGGTGTATGTCATAGTTTTCTCTTTTATAAAAAGGGCAGTTTTGGGTAGTCAAACAGTTAGCTTATCATAACAAAGTTAAGGGGAAGTTTATATATCTGAAAGAACATTCTGTCCCATGTAGTTCTAAATTGCATTGCAAAAAACATTTTCCAGATGGACAGATGGACCTGTAGGGCTTGTCTGTCACTAATCTTTGATACTTTTCATAATGGATTTAAGACCATTTTTTAAAAAAACCAGTTTGAGATGAAAGGCATCTATAGTCCATTCTGATACATCCAAGGCAGTACTTCCCAACCTCACGGTATGTCATTTATAATCTCTATATTTTCCATCCTATGGAATTTTTCCCACTTGTTTCCATGGTTTCCATCTCAGAAATCTGTTAATTAGGAAAGGAATTTTTTTTTTCACTTTAAACCATTGTGTCTTGCTTGTGGTTGTCACAATGATAGAAAATAATTCCACTCATTAGCTTGGTTTATTTGATTTGACATAGGTGTTTTCCTTTTCCCCTAGAATACACAATTATGTTTGTAGATGTACACATACATGTATCTATATACGTAATCATATATACACATACAGACATATAAACATATGTTTACATTACCTATAGACACATCATAAAACATTGATGGACTTTTGATTTCTCTGACATGTCTACTCCTTTTGTCAGTAGAGCTGGCAACCAATCCATTCCTTCTCCTCCTGTGTGAGATTTTTTGTGTCATTGCATAAATCTTTGCTAGAAGAGCTCAAGCTATCGTGCTGTAAGCCTGCCTCAATTTCTTTAGATTATTTTGTGACTGCCAGTGCAATGCATAGATTGTCCACCAACTATTCCTCTTTGTTGTTAGGTGACTGACCCATCTTCCATTCTAGTCATGAAGGTCCTTAATGATTTTTTGTATCACTTATTGCACACAAGTCATTGTCAATCACATGCTACAATCTGTTTGTGTCCACTGTACATCTTTCTGTGGTCTTCTGGATCACCTATGATTTTGAATCTGAAATCATGTTATGTTTCACAACCACACATGTGCATGGTAAGAGTATTTTTTACAGACATTTTGCAGGATTATTCTAATTGAAGTAGCTAATTCAATTAGCCAACAACCTAAGAATTATTAGGCTAAATTCAAATGCTATAATATTTCAGCCAGTCTAAAGCCAACCTATTTCTGAAAATACAACAGATTTTTAAAAGTTTTTATTTTTTATTCTTTTTACTGGTATGCCTAATCTATATAAATCCAACACAACTTTTAGTGTCTAGATATTTCTATCTTGCCAAAGAAGGAAATATATTGCTATTTGTAGCAAATTTGATATCAAAGAGAGATATAGTTAGTAAAGTACAGGACTAGGAATCAAAAAAATGAAGTTCTATTTCTAATTCAGCCACTGGTTTATGTCAGTATCATTTCAGATAAATAACATCTCCTCTGGGCCTTAGTGTTTCCAGTGGTAAAAATGTAAATAGCTTGTTTATAAATCATACTCATTGCTATACTTCTAAGGTGTGTATAAGTGTTGATGTGTGCCCATGGCTACCTATTATTATCCCTGGAAAGATCTGGTAAAGTGGGTCTGATATTAATCACCATAGCTGATGGCTGTCAAAAATTGTGCATCACCATTTAAACATTTGGAAGCACATTTTACAAGGTTAATTTTGTAGTTTACCAAATGAAAATGAAAAAGGTATTCAGCCAGGTTTTTTTCTCCTTAAACTTGTCAGGCACTTCAACTGAGCAATGCATTAACTTTAATGCTATGGGTGTGTGGACATGAGTGCCTTTTGTTTCTCTTACTCCTAATCTGGTATCAGCCTGTTTTCGTTTGTTTGATTTGTATGTTTTTTAAAATAACATATACTTAGGAAGGTAAATAGGGTTCAGATAGCTTCCTTGTATGCACCTCACAGTAATAGTGGGTAAATTTGCTGCCTTTATGACAGGTTGCTTTTATAAAAATAACAGTAATTCCAACAAAATTATTGACCTGTGTTGGAAAGATGGATCAGAACCATACCTCTGATTTGATTGATAATGAGATCTCCAGGATAAATAAACTCACTTGACCATTGCAGGTTGGTAATTGCTCTACAATTTATAGTCTCTAAGAGTTGTCTACAGCACTAAAAGGTTAAGGGTCTTACCCAGGATCACACAGCCAGTGTTTGTCAGAGCTGATATTGAACCCATATCTTCCTGGCTTTGAGACCATGGTTTTAGAATACGATGTGCCCTTTGAGCTTAATTTCCAGTTGTAGTGATGGATTTGAAGTTCCTCAGTGATATCTTTTATTTCATACAAGTTATTGGTAATCATATGCTGTAGTCCATTTATGTCTACTATGCGTCCTTCCATTGTCCGTTGGATCACCTGCAATGCTGTGTTTTTTCTTTGTATCCCTAGCACCTTGCACAGTGCCCGGGCACATAGTGAATGCTTAATATATGTTTGTGGTTGTTGCTGCTGCTGCTGCTGCCAATGGTTGTTGTTGGTGGTATATCAGTTTATAGCTAAGAAATAAAGTATTGTGGAAGGGCATATTTATAATGGTAGGACTTATAATTAAACAGGGGCCTGTAGCAATGGTTATTGTATGCTTATAGTAATAGTTCGAGGAAATAGGTCTAATCATCTACTTCATAAGCTAATTGTATTATAAGAGTCTTTTGTTAAATAAATATAGGAGATGTGATTTTACCTATGATCTATCCAAATCTATGTCATAATGAATAATCAGACATAATAATGATGATAATAATAATAATAAATTACTTTCTGAAGCCATGGTACTAGTTTGGATAGAGACTTAATGACCTCTTTTCAACTCGTTTGCTCAGCTAGACTAGTTGTCACGTTTTGTGGTTTGGGGCAACATTCATATTTAAGAATCTGATATCAAGGGAAATATTTTTAATTCAGCATTTCATTTATTCTTGGAATAACTTCTAAGAAAGCCAGTGCCCATCCCCAAGTGATAAAGGATCAGTCAACCAGCTGGTGTTTACTGGGTCTCCATGGGGTGTATAACATGGTATTCAGCAATCCATAGTAAAGAACAGACTATGGGTCCTTCCTCAAGGGTCTCATAGTCTAATCATGTAGACAGGACACCCATATAATTAACATTTGCCCATATAAGCTCAATAATTGCATAAATATCAAGTGGTTAAAAAAAACAATAAGAATGCTGGTGGAATTTGGGAGAATTAAGCAAATTTCTCCCCTGTAGTTAATGGGCTAACTGGGAGGGAGAGAGTGGGAAGTGAATTGACATACTGGAGGAAAAATAATTATTTTATTTTTTAAGATGGTTTTGTATGTATGCATGATCAAAATTTGGGAGGGGAGCTAATGATTGAGAGAAGGAAAGAAAGAGACTTTGGGAGAGAAAGAATAAATTTTCTATAAAAATTAGATAGACAAGATTCCCTCACTCCTCCTCCCCCACCTCTAGCTCTAATAAAAGTGCTATACTTGGTGCTATACTCACTTAATTAATCCTACGTCAAATTAGTTGTCCTGGTTGGATAGGCAAGCAATTCAAATCCATTAGAA